TTTGAAACAAGAACAGGGCTGCGAATTTGGAACTAAAAAAGGGTTTGAATGATTCTGAGATGAGATTAACCCTCCAGTTACCGAGATATATGAACACAAGGAGAGAATGTGCGAGAAGATCCTCCATGAAAATCGCGAACGGAATTTTGAAGGAGAGAGGATAAGGCGACTCGGACGCAGCTTGGGAAGAAGAGTAAATGGATCTGCTGCTAATTAACTCAATTGAGCGAAGAATAAATTTGATTCTTAATGGGGCAAGATTTTTAAAGGAATTTGGGCTTAGGGAACTTAATTTCACAAATGGCCCAAAATAAATCAATAAACTTATGAGCTAGAAATAATTTTCAATTGGGCCGAGGATAAATGAAATAACAAGAACTCCCGATCGATTCGATTGACGACTAAAATAAATTAATCCGGATTATCTATATTTATAATACACGCAATATATATATATATAATAATAATAGGCATTTAAAAAAATTAGACATTTAATCACAAATAAATATTTACTAATAATAATAATAATAATAATAATAATAATATTAATAATAATAATATAAATAAGTAATGAGTTCATATTCTCTCATGGAGAGCGTTTCAATTCTCTCATGGAGAGCGTTCGGATTCGTGGGTGTTCCTTGAATTTCTCTGCTTTCTATCCACATTTTCTTTGATTTGGTCCTTTCTGTTTGTTCTAGCTTCTTTTGATTTCTGCTGTTGGACACGATTAGGGTTTTCAATTGGGCCATGGGCTCGTCACAATGTGTCGGTCATGACGAAGAATTAGCTCAGAAATTGCAGGCGGTATCTCTCTCCGAACGTAAGAATAACTATATTGATATAGCGAAAGGGGACATCAAAATCAGTGATGAAGAATGCCTCCGTAGTCTATTCGGCAAGGTTATTGGTGACCGACGCGCCAGCTGGGTTGGAGTTAAACGATCTATGAATAATATATGGCGTTTACAACAAGCAGTGGAGGTAAAGGAATTGGGCCCGAATTATTTTCAATTTCTTTTCAACAGCAGAGAAGATCTCCTCAAAGTTGCTAAGGGTACCAATTGGATTTTCGATAATCAATACCTTATTTTAGCGGAATGGCAAAGAGGCCTATCGATTAATCACCCTATATTCTCGGAACTTAATATCTGGGTTCAAGCTTTCAACGTTCCCCTCAACTGGTTGAGCACTGAAGTGGGGATGAAAATAGGCAGCGTGTTTAAGAGGGTTAACAATGTGGTCATTGTTGGTGCTGGCAGTCATGGAGGTCGCATTATGAGGCTTATGGTAAATGTGGACCTGAATGAAGCTTTGCCTAGGTGTGCTCATAACCGTTTAGAAGATCAATCAGTTATTGCTGGTTTCAAATATGAGAAGTTAGTAAACCATTATCACTATTGCGGACACATTGGGCATTTGGACAGATGATGCGAAATCAGAATTCAAGCCATTAAAGATAAAACAGTCAAGGAAGGACAATTAAGAGATTGGATGCAGCCACCGGACTTCAATAGCTGGTCTAATCTGGGACAGACAAGCTCAAGAAGCCCTCAACCGGAAACAAATACTACTCCCTCTACACCTCAATCTGCCTCTACTCCCCATTCTTTCAGCCAAGTTGCAAACAATCAACAACTCATCCCTGTTCAAGAGGAACCTCTCCATATTAATCTTGTTACTTCCCTATCTGTTAATATTCCTAAAACCAACCTAACAATCCCTTAACCATCCAACATTCAATTAACCAACCCTCTCAGTAATTCCATCATGGTGTTTGATTCTGCAGCCACATCTACACCAAAAGACATGGATCTTGAACCAATTCATCCTCATTCCATCCCACCTGCTTCTCTAAAATTGGTTCCCAAAACTTGGAAGAGAGCACCTCATGGGGATGGTCGTCTTCAGAGACAGGAAATCCCTATGGCAAAGGAGACAAGTAGAAGTAAGGGCAAAAGAGTTCGAACTGATTCTGATGAAGATAAAGAGGAGAATAACGAGCATGATAAAGTTCCGACGTTGGGGAAAAGAAGCAAATCTGAAGTGTCTAAGGTGGGGGTTGCCAGCCTTGAATGGCACCCGAGTGAACCATGTTAGCTCTGGTGTGGAACTGTAGAGGGCTGGGTGGGCCCTCTACGGTTTCCCAATTGCGAGAGTCTTGTAGGACTCACCACCCTGGTTTCGTATTTCTATCTGAAACTAAAAGTAAACAAGGTTTTGTTAAATCGGTTTGCAAGAAGCTTTGGTTTGATGACAGCTATTCCATTGTTGATCCAGTAGGAAAAAGTGGGGGTCTGCTCCTCCTCTGGAATTCCGATGTTCAGGTAACTCGGATTGCTACAAAAGACTTTTACATAGCTGTTCAATTCAAAGGAAAGGAAGACTGCACAGAGTGGGTTGTCTTCGTTTATATGAGTACTGACAAGAGTACTAGAGCCAATCAATGGGAAGATCTGCTGCAGGATAAAATATGTTGGGGAGACAAGTGGTTTATTATAGGCAACTGGAATGAAATTCGATATCCTGAGGAGAAAAGAGGTGGAAGGGAAAGAAGCTACAGAAGTATGATGGATTTTAATGATTTTATCTGCAATATGGAGATGGAGGAGCTTAGCACGGTTGGATATCCTTTTACATGGGCAAACAACAGAGACTCTGAGGGCTTTATGGAGGAAAGATTAGACCGTGCTTTTACTTCTGCGGATTGGATTGAGCAACATCAAAATGCTTCTGTTATCAATGTTCTGAGGGGTGCCTCTGATCACACCATGCTTATACTTAACTCAGGCAACCCATTAGCAGGCTGGAAAAAAAGATTTTGTTTTGACAAACGTTGGTTGACCACTGAAGGATGCCAAAAAGTAGTTCAAAAGGCTTGGTCCAAGGAACAACAGGGCACTCCTTTCTTCATCCTGAAAGAAAAAATCAAGGAAACCAGAATTGCCTTATTACAATGGAGCTCGAAGTTCAGAGCTCAAAGCCAGAGTAAGATTCAATCCCTCACTGCTCATCTTGAGAAGTTGAATTCTATAGGGAGAGAAAAAGATTGGGATGCTTGGGACAGGGCAAGAAGAGAGCTGAATGAAGCCCACTGTCATGACGAACAATACTGGCAATAAAAATCAAGGGCATCATGGCTCAAACATGGGGATAAGAATTCAAAATTTTTTCATGCTTTTGTCAGACATAGAAGGAAGATGAACTCCATCAGCAGGCTGGTTGACAGAAACAGACTCACTTTCCACACTCAAGCTGAGATTAAAAACCACATAAGTGAATTTTATGAAACCCTGTTCACCTATGAGGGTTCTATGGGAGAAGAAACTCTTCTTCATCTGATCCCCACTTCCATCACCAATGACATGAATAGGGAATTGCTGAAGCCGGTTGAAGAGGAAGAAATCAGATATGCTCTCTTTAGTTTGAGCCCTGATAAAGCTCCTGGTGAGGAAGGCATGAATCCTCTTTTCTACCAATCCTTCTGGAGTCTGATCAAAGGTGATGTCATTTCTGCTATAAAGAGTTTCTTTTCCTCAGGTTTGTTATTGAAGTACTGGAATCAAACTATCATCACTTTGGTGCCAAAAAGTAAGAACCCTGAATCCATTGAGCAATACAGGCCAATAGGTTTGTGCAGTGCGGTATATAAAATCATTTCAAAGCTCTTAGCTGTCAGACTTCAATCTTGCCTCGATCCTTGCATTAACCCTTGTCAGTCTGCATTCATTAAGGGAAGACAGCTATTAGACAATGTGATAATTGCACAAGAAGTCTTCCATTTCCTCAGTCGCCACAGATCTGGTTCAAAATTTTTTATGGTTTTGAAGCTGGACCTTATGAAGGCTTTTGACAAAATCGAATAGAGGAGTATAAAGGGGATAATGTTGAAGATGGGTTTTGCTCATTCCTTTGAAAAGCTTATCTTGGAATGCATATCCACTGCCTCTCTTGCTTTCAATGTTAATGGATTTATCAGCAAGGTTGTTATCCCCTCAAGGGGAATTCGACAAGGTGATCCATTGTATCCATACATTTTTCTTATTGTGGCAGAGCTACTTTCTTCCATGATTAATAAAGCTATCAATGATGGGCTTCTGGCTGGCCTCAGAATTTCTAGAAATGGGCCTCTTCTCTCTCACCTTCTCTTTGCTGACGATGCTCTCCATTTTTTGTAAAGCTAAGGTGGACCAAGTCCTTCAACTATTGAGGATTCTGGAGTCTTTCAGACTTTACACTGGTCAGAGGGTTAATTTTTCCAAGTCCTCTATCTTTTTCAGCAAGAATTGCCCTTCCCCCTTGCAGCTGAACATTTGTGATTTGTTACCTGGGATTAGCTCTCACCAATCTACAAGATACCTTGGCCTGCCCCTTGGGATTGGGAAATCAAAAAAGGAAGCCTTTGATTATGTTCTCCACTCTGTCAGAGCAAAACTTAACAGCTGGAAATCCAAATTTCTATCCCCTGCTGGCAGAGAGGTCCTCATTAAGGTTGTGCTTACTGCCATTCCCATTTTCACCATGGCATGTTTCAAAATCCCAGTTTCAACTGCCAAGGAAATTGCAAAGCTGTGTGCTGCCTTCTGATGGAGCAAAGGGGACAATCAGGACAGAGGGATTCATTGGAAGTCATGGGAAAAAATGACTTTACCCAAAAATGAAGGTGGTCTGGGGTTTCTTGATGTGCAGCTATCCAATGAATCTCTTATCTGCAAGCAACTGTGGAGAATCACTTCCCAACCCCAGCTCCTTGTTAGTCAAGTCCTCAAAAGCAGGTATTACCCATCATCCTCTATTTTTGAAGCCATTAAATCCCAGATTTGCTCCTGGTTATAGAGCTGTTGGCTTCAGGTTCTTCCTTCTTTTGCAAAAGGCTACAGAGTTCAAATAAGGAATGGGAATACCACCCAAATCTCTGATATCAATTAGATCCCTTCCTTGAGAACTCTAAGGCATCATATGAGTGATATTGCTCTAGGACACTTAATTTGGGTAAAGGATCTGCTATCTAATAATGGTAGAAGCTGGAACACCTGGTTAATCTCTCAAGTTTTCAACTCTGAAGAAAGTCAAGCCATCTCTAGCATAAACACTCTTCATCCTGACAGGGAGGATAGAGTGTATTGGGGTTTGGACAAAAAGGGTTTATTCTCTGTCTCCTCTGCCTATTCTCATTCTTTAAATCTTAAGGTGCAAGGGATGGACATTCCCCACAGTGGATATTCTATTTTTATTTCTAAAGCCAGAGAGAGATCCTGGAAGCTGAATGTTCACCCCAAGCTTAGGCACTTTCTTTGGAAATGTTGTTCCAACACCCTTCCAGTTAAATCCAATCTCCTGAAGAAAGGGATCAAGCTGGATGTCATTTGCCAATCTTGTGGAGAGGATATTGAAACAGTAAGCCATGTTTTCTTTCACTGCACCAGAGCTAGAGCTGTGTGGAAAGCTAGCCCTGTCACTTGGGATGGTCTGTGTTCTGAAGAAAAATCTTTTAGCACTTGGTGGTGGCAGATTTGTTGTATTGACAGATCCGAGGTGGCCGAGGCCGGTATACAGCTTACCACTTACATCCTATGGTGGCTGTGGAAGTCTCGAAATCTATGGCTATTTCTGGAAGATCTAATGCCAGTCCAAACTTTGGTAAAGGCTGCTCTTAGAGATAGGGAGGACATCATTGATGTTTCTTAATTTTCTCTTTTGCTGTGGTTCTCAGTTTGGTTTGCTGTTGTGTAGTTGTGGTTTTCGATTTTGTTTGAAGCTAGTTATCCATGTTAGGCTGTGGCAGTGATATGGGGAGCTGGTTTTTTCTGGTTTTTAGTTTCTAGTCGTATCCCATCGGTGGGATGTCTAGGCCGCTTCATAGCGCGTCCTCTCATTTTTCCTTTTTTCGGCTTTGGGCCCCGTCTGTATTGGAACTGTGTGTTTCCTTTGAGTTTTATTATATTATCTCTTTCGTTTCGAAAACAAAAATAATAATATAAATAAGCAATAAAAATAGCAATAATAAACCAATAAATAATCTCAAATAATTCTGATTCAAACGGGGCGTTACAGCTGTGGTGTTTGAAGCCAATTTGGTGGATAACCCAAGGGCGTGGTACATTGATACTGGTGCCACTCGCCACGTGTGTTCCGACAAGGGGTTGTTTTCTGACTACACTCCTTCAACTGGTCGGAAGCTCCACATGGGCAACTTCTCCTCGTCTGATGTGGTTGGAGTTGGCATCGTGGTGCTGAAGCTGAATTCTACAAAGGAGTTGAAGCTTAAGGATATGCTGAATGTCCCAGACATCCGCAAGAATTTGTTTTCCGGATCTCTTCTTGTAGAGCATGGTTTTAAGTTAGTGTTTGAAGTTAAGAAGTTTATTCTTAGCAAGTATGGTACTTTCCTTGGTCGTGGCTATCTCGACAAGGGTTTATTTAAAATGAATGTAATGGCTGTGAGCCGTGTAACCGTTTTTACTGATAATGAAAATCGTAGTTCTGTTTATATCGTGGAGTGCTCTGATTTATGACATATTAGATTAGGACATGTGAATCTAAATGCAATTAAACGGTTGATGAACTTAGAATTAATTCCTAATTCTAAAATTGAATCACACAAAAAATGTGAAATTTGTGTTGAAGCCAAAATGGCTAAATTACCTTTTCACTCGGTGGAAAGAAATACTGAACCGTTGGGTTTAATCCATACTGATGTATGTGACTTGAAGTTTGTGCAAACAAGAACGGGTAGAAGATATTTTATAACTTTTTATGATGATTGCACAAGGTTTTGCTACTTATATCTTTCAAGAAGCAAAGACGAGGCTGTGGAATCTTTTAAAAATTTTAAGACCGAAGTTGAAAATCAACTCGGCAAAAATATTAAAATAATCCGAAGTGATAGGGGTGAGGAGTATGTAGCTCCTTTTGAACAAACATGTTTTGAATATGGCATAATTCATCAAACTACGGCCCCATATTCTCCACAGTCGAACGGTGTTGCTGAACGCAAGAACCGGACTTTAAAAGAGATGATGAATGCCATGTTGATAAATTCAGGATTACCCCAGAATATGTGGGGGGAAGCTGTTTTAACAGCAAATCATATTCTGAATAAAATACCACCTAAAGGGAAAAATGAGACTCCTTACGAAATGTGGAAAATCGTAAGTCGTCTTATAAATACCTGAAAGTGTGGGGGTGTTTAGCTAAGGTTTCAGTTCCTGAACCAAAACAAATGAGAATCGGACCTAAGACGGTCGATTGTATTTTTATTGGATATGCGTACAATAGTACAGCATATAGATTTCTGGTTCATAAATCAGAAAATCCGGAGGTATCGGTTGGTACCACTATTGAGTCGAGGAATGCTATATTCTTCGAGAATATTTTTCCTTTGAAGGAAAGAGCAGAATCTAGTTCTAACAAAAGGACGTATGAAACTGCTAGCAGTTCTGTACCAGATGGTACAGAAGATAAAGAAGAAGAACCGAGACATGGTAAAAGGGTAAAAACAACAAAAATGTTTGGACCTGATTTTATTACGTTTATGTTGGACGATGAACCGACTTCCATTAAGGAGGCTCTGTCTAGCCCAGATGGACCACTCTGGGAAGAAGCTATAAATAGCGAAATCGAGTCCATTATACAAAATCATACTTGGGAGTTGGTTGATCTCCCTGCGGGTTGTAAATCTTTAGGATGCAAGTGGATCCTAAAAAGAAAATACAAAGCTGATGGGACAATTGATAAGTTTAAAGCAAGAGTAGTGGTCAAAGGCTTTAACAAAAAGAAGGGTACGACTTCTTTGATACCTATTCACTTGTGACGCGTATAGCGTCAATTACAGTTGATATAGCTATACTGTTGTATACCGGTTGACGCATTGTCGAGTCGACCTATTCAAAGTTGACTCTTTCTATGGACCTGTGATGACTCTGGTCTGTCAGGGCCCAAGCGTCTCTATCCCCGTCGACTTCCTACTGTCGACTAGAATAAGTCGACTCCCTCCAAAAATGGAAAGGCACATCAGGGTCCACTGACGATCGAAGATGACCAGTCGACTCGAAGAAGACATCCCGAGTAGACTTAGCACGCCTTGAGGCTCATAGATCCCCGACGACTCCAGTACACTTCAACGTATTGTAAGGAAGTTATTTGAGATAAGAAGGAATCTGGATGCTGACTAGGAGAGGGATGGAATACGAACTGACCAGGGCATTTTGGCCATTTCTGGTAAGTCGGCCAGGGTATTTTGGGAACTTCAGGTTAATGTCTTGCTCCTATATAAAGGAACTGAGGTAACCCCAAAACCCTAACCTCCATTCATTCTATACTCTCCTCCATTACTGCTGCTGCTCTCTCAGAGCAGCTCTCTTTACCTCTTTCACATACTGACTTGAGCGTCGGAGGCTCTACGCCGGAAACCCCTCCGGCGTTGAGTTCTTGCAGGTGTCCTCACGGTTCAGCAACGGTTTGAAGGCGGTCGAGGTAGATCTGAGCCCATTTCCATCGATTTATTTCAGATCAGAGCTTGCTTCCATTGATTCGCTCCAAATCTGAGAGGAGACCCATCATTTTGGCGCCGTCTGTGGGGAGTTCATGAAGGAATTAAGAGCTTTACACCTAGCTTTGATCTGTCTCTGATGGCTGAGAAGGAAAGATTGCAGAAAAATTTGAACGAGGATTTCAGGAAAACGTGGACTGATAAGCGACCTCCGCGGATTCCCAGCCCCAGACCACCGCTCAAAGTGTTTGGTTTCCCACCATTCGGAGCACACGCACCATCAGGGGGCGTGTGGGAGAGGAGACGCCTATTACCCCACCTGGAGTCAAAATCCCAGTCCTTACGCAAGGAGGGGCCAGCCACGTGAAAAGCACGAGCGGAGAGGTCAATGGTCATGAGCCAATCGAGACGTCTCTAGGTTTGGGAAGGCAGCCTGGATCGCTCGAGCAGGAAACGAGGCTGCCGCCTCAAGTCGAGGAGCAAACATTGACCATGACGAGAAGCGAGATGCAAAGAATGATTGCAGAAGCAGTAGCGGCCCAGATCAAGCAGACGCAAGTCGAGCAACCTAGGGTCGAACAACCTAGGATCAAGCAAGCAAGGGTCGAACAGCCTCAAAATGGACAACCACCCCCTGAGCGCGAACAGCAAGCGCAGTCGCATGAAAGGCAGAGCAGGAGAGCAGATGAGGAAGAGACCTCTGTCAGAACTATCAATCCACAAGCATGGAACGACACTCTGGAGCAGTTGCTAGCCCAGGTGCGAGATCTGCAGGCTCAAGTCGAGGGAAGAAAAACGGGGAGCTCGAGAGGACACCCCTTTTCACAACATATTCTAGACGCCGACTTGCCTTAGGGGTTCAGAGAGCTTAACATCTGGTACGACGGGTCGACTGAGCCCTCTCGACATCTAAGGAGCTTTGAAAACATGGTAGTGCTGCACCGCTAGAACGACCCCGTTCAATGTCGAGCGTTCCTGACGACTCTACGGGGACCTGCGCAAG